TAATTATCTCTTTCTATGGCATTAGTCAAATTATATTTTCAAGGCGATTATCAGATAGCAAAATGAAACGGTAATTTATCACTGAAAATATATTAAACTATAACTAAACTAAACAAGAATAGCAAGCCTTTTCCCCCCTAAAGTAATCGTGAGAAAAAAGCATTTACTATGTGTAAAAATAAAAAGTTTACCATAGGGGGTATCTATTCAAAATAAGACTTCACACATTCAATAAATATTTGAGGATCCAATGAACAAATGGGGGAAAAGCAGAAAGAGAAAACGGTTTTGATATTGTATAAGTTAAAGCAATCATCTTTGAGATATCTACTCATCTGTAAATTTTGAACATACCTACCTTATACAATTTTTCTGTGAAGATTAAATTAAATGCATCTGCTTTATCTGGAATGCTACTGCATTTCATTCTTTTTTTTTAGTGGTGTTTAATCACTAGTACTGTGGCAATTATATTTACCCAAAATTTTCTAGATAAAAGAAGTGTTATATTTTAGCCACATATAGGTTAAACATATGTTTGTAAGTTAGTTTAGGAATCTTTTTGTTTCAACTGAGAAACGCATTGCAAGTATCTTAAAAATTATCTCAGAAAGACACTGTTTTATAAATTGTGGACTGACTGTATGGTCAAATACTAAGTAGATAATAATATCTAAGTATAGCTACCAATATAAATCCTAGCCCACAGTGGGGGCTCACAGTGTTTGCTGAAATAAATGTAACCAAAAGTCTGGTTACTGAATCTGCTAACTAGAAACCTCTTATTTATAAGACACCGTGTCTCAAGGATGATTATGGTAACGAAAATGATAATTAATAGTTAATAAAAACAACTGATACAGTGCTTCATCAGAATACAGAATACAGCAGTTACAGACTTTGGCAATTTACAAAAATAACAAAAGTTGCATAACATTCAAACAACATAGGTTAAAAATCAAATCACTGAAGCCCACAAGTGGAGTAAAAATCAGTTAAGTTTTTAGTAATAATTTATTTTTATTAAAAAAATAAGCACAAAATAAAACATAGTTAAAATGTCTATATTACCTAAAGCAATCTACAGATTCAATGCAATCTCAATCAGAATCCCAATGACATTCTTCACGGAAATAGAAAAAAAGAATACTAAAATTCATATGGAGCAACACAAGACCCCGAATAGCTAAAGCAATCCTAAGAAAAAGGAACAAAGCTGGAGGCATCACAATCCCTGACTTCAAAACATACTACAAAGCAATAGTAATCAAAACAGCATGGTACTGGTACAAAAACAGACAGACAGATCAATGGAACAGAATTGAAAGCCACACATATACGGACAGCTAATTTTTGACAAAGGAGCTAAGAACATACAATGGAGAAAGGAAAGTCTCTTCAATAAATGGTGTTGGGAAAACTGGACAGCCACATACAAAAGAATGAAAGTGGACCAGCTGCTATCGCCATTCACAAGCATTGACTCAAAATGGATCAAAGACCTGAAGGTGAAACCTGAAACTATAAAACTCATAGAAGAAAATATAGGCAACACACTATTTGACACTGGTCGTAAAGGAATCTTTTCGGATGCCATGCCTACTCAGACCAGGGAAACTAAGGAAAAAATAAGCAAGCGGGACTTGATCAGATTAAAGAGCTTCTACAAGACAAATGAAACCAGGATCAAAATGAATAGACAACCCATCAGCTGGGAGAAAATATTTGCAAAACATATATCTGACAAGGGGTTAATCTCCATAATATATAAAGAACTCACACAACTGAACAATAAAAAAAACAAACAACCTGATCAAAAAATGGGCAGAGGAAATCTTCTCCAAAGATATACAGATGGCCAACAGGCACATGAAAAGATGTTCAACATCACTAATCATCAGGGAAATGCAAATCAAAAACAACACTAAGATATCACCTCATGCCTGTTAAAATGGCTATAATCACCAAGAGAAAAAACAACAAATGTTGGAGAGGATGTGGAGAAACAGGAACCCTCATACACAGCTGGTGGGAATGCAAACTGGTGCAGCCTCTATGGAAAATGGTATGGAGAGTCCTCAAAAAATTAAAAATAGAAATACCCTGTGATCCAGCTATCCCCCTACTGGGAATCTATCCAACAAACCTGAAATCAACAACCCAAAGAGGCTTATGCATCCCTATGTTCATTGCAGCATTATTCACTATAGCCAAGACATGGAAGCCACCCAAGTGTCCCTCAACTGATAACTGGATCAAGAAGTTGTGGTATATATATAATGGAATACTACTCAGCCATAAAAAAAGACAAAATTGTCCCATTTGCAACAACATGGATGGACCTGGAGGATATTATGTTAAGTGAAATAAGCCAGAAAGAGAAAGACAAACACCGTATGATCTTACTCATATGTGGAATATAAACCAACACATGGACAGAGAAAACTGTATTGTGGTTATCACGGGCAGTGGGGGCAGGGGGTAGGCACAAGGGGTGAAGGAAGACATGTATATGGTGATCGACAAACAAAAATGTACAACCAAAATTTCACAATGTTATAAACTATTAAGACATCAATTAAAAAAAAAGCACAAAATAAAATAACCATGCAACAGAGTTCTAGCAGGAACACAATGTCTAAGAATTAGGTATCAATCCTTTCACTACAATATTACATCTAGTTCCAATCTTTACATCTATGTAAAGAAACTTAAAAGCAAATGACTCAATAATGAAAGAAAAAGAAAAACTAAATGGGGCAGATTTATTCACAGAGCAGAGTCAGCAAATGTTTAGCCCAGTGTGTTAGCAATAAAATTAAATTCTGTTTGTGTGTCACTAGTGGCTTTAATATGAGAGAGAAGGAAGGAAAAAAAAGATGAAAAGGAAAAGTAAACATGAGGAAAAAACATGTGCAGGACAGTAAATAAGCTTCTTTTATTCCTTCAGAGGATGGTGTTGTGAACTGTTTAAGCAATGCCTCAGGACAATCATTATGATCCATTCTATTTTTACAGTGTTTTTTTGTATCAATCCAGTGATATCTACCTTCAATATGGGATGGATAGACACAGAAACCACCACTCCCCTTTCTCCGATAACAAAGTGAAGGCTATGAGGTATAAAACAAAGGACCAAGACAGTTCAGAAGAGACATCTGAGGGGATCGGGGAGGGGTATGTGCTGGGGAAGCTGGTAGAGAGAAAGACTTCTCAGAAGAAATAATATATAATCTGGGCTTTAAAGAAAGTAAAATTCTACAACAGAAAAATTCCAACAAGAGAGTACAACATGAGAAAGGCTTGTAAATGACACATCTGGTATGGTAGGCAGAATGGATCCCCAAAGATGCCCATGTGCTAATCCTAGAACCTCTGAATACCTACGTTATATGGCAAACAGGACTTCTGGAGATGTTATCAAAGTTACGGTCCTTAAGATAAGGAGATAATTCCTGAGTCTCTGAGTGGGCCCAATCTAATCACCTGAGTCCCTAAAAGCAGATAATTTTCTCCACCTGTGGTTAGAAAGATGCAGCAGAGAAGTCAGAGAGATTTGAAGCATAAGAGAGACTTGACCCACCATCGCTGTAAGGGACAATGGAATGCAGACAGAGAATGCAGAAGAGAAGGAGTGCAGAAACCCTCTAGGAGCAAAGACTGGACCTGACTGAAAATCAGCAAGACAATGGAACCTCAGTTCCACAACCACAAGGAACTAATCTGGCCAAGAATCTGAATAAGCTGGCAGCAGATTCTTTCCCAGACTCTCCAAGAAGGAACACCGCCCAGTCAGTAGTACCTTGACAGTAGTACCTTGATTTCAGCCTTTTAGGACCCTAAATTGAAGACCCTGCTGAGCCCACCCAGATTTCTGACCTATAGAAATTGCGAGATAATATATTTGTGTTATTTAAAGCTGCTAAGTTTGTAGCCCCAGCCCATGGTTTAGTGGTCAAGACTTGGCATTCTGACTGCCGTGGCCTGGGGTTCATTTCCAGGCAGAGAACCTCTGCCCCCTTCTCTCAGTTGTCATACCTTGGTGGCTGCGTGTTGCTGAGATGCTGAAAGCTATGCCACTGGTATTTCAAATACCAGCAGGGTCACTCATGGCGGACAGGTTTCAGCAGAGCTTCCAGACTAGACAGACTAGGAAGAAGGACCTGGCCACCTACTTTCGAAAAAACTGGCCATGAAGACCCTATGAATAGCAGTGGACCATTGTCTGATATAGTGCTGGAAAGTGAGAGGACGGCGCAAAAAGACCAGGCAGGGTTCCGCTCTGCTGTACACAGGGTCACCAGGAGTTGGAATCAACTGGATGACACTAACAACAACAAAGTTTGTGGTAATTTGTTAAGGCAGCAAGAAAACTAATACAGCTGGCAAGTTCCAGGAACAAATATATTTAAGAGCAGCCAGAGCAAAGGACGTGTGGGTAAGAAACAACGGAAGAGAGGCTAGGGATGAAGTTGGAGGGCAGGGAGAGTGTAAGTTATAAAAATCTAAGACTTGGTTATGTAAGCCACAGAGGGGTGCTGAAACTTTTTTAAAGTGGGAAAGATGATAGATAACAGCAAATGACAGAAATGTTGTTGACTGGAGATGAGAGGGAGACCATGGGCAGGGAGATTAGTTAGGAGAGTATTACAATTATCTGTGTAATAGATGATGAGAGCCTGAACCAAAGCAATGAGAATGAAGAGACAGAACCAATAACTTTTTGGGATATTTCAGATGCAAAGACAGAAGTCTTGGTTCCTGATTGATACTGGAGATGAGGGAGAGCAGATGACTCAAAGTATTATAGCCATTATAATTTGGTGAGTGATGATATTTAACAATTAAAGAACACAAGAAAGTATACTTTGAGGAAGTTAAAAACAGGAAGGGGGAAATGTACTCTCCTCTTCTAATTTTAAAATAAATGGAAGGCACAATTCAGAGTTTTGAAGCAGTGAGTAAACACAAAAAACACCTATTTTGCTAGGCTCTATTACCTCTGCTGTTGCTTTCTGGATAGGCAAACGTAGGCTTATTCGGGGAGCGTCGTAGATCACTATTAAGGAAAGGCTTATCAGGTGGATACACTACATATGAAGATGAGGAATGGCGAACCATACTTCCATTAGGCCTTGATGGTTCGGCTAAGATGTTCTGAAAAACAAAAGTACAGAAATTACTTTTCAAAATGCTAAACTGCAAATAGCATGTATTAAATATATATACATGTTCATGACTGAGAACTGGACTGTCCATATGTGCCACTGATAGACACAACAGAAAAAATAGAGTCCACTGACCATACACAACAGAATTCAATCATTACTTTAAAATAATACAACTTTTAAAGTGTTTCATATTTGTCTAAATATAGCCATATGCCAGACAATATAAAAAAGTAATGTTTACACAACTTGAATACAAATGCTGCAAAAAATACTTAAATATGGTACTCACAATGAATTTAATATATTGTATTTTAAAAAATGTACTGTAAAATATACATTCAGAAAAGTAAATATTGTCTTTTTACAGTATCAGAAACTGCTACAAAATGACTGAATTAATTTATCGCCAATCAACTAAATACTTCCTGAATGTTTATCAAGTGTCCAAAACTCTGTGGTAGACAGAAAAAAAGGCATAATACTTGCCTCAAAGAATTTACAGTTAGGAGGGTAAAAAGGGAAACAGAAAACATTAAAGCTTATCAAACACCTAAATATAAAACTTTATTTCCACACATATGCTATTCTGTCATGAATAGGGATTTTGTTCAATTTGGGATTATGTTCTACATGATAATTTTCAGTGCAGGCGACTATTCATTTTATGAGGCAACCTTGATATCAAAATCAGTAAGAACTATATAAGAAAGAAATATTATAGGCCATTATTTCCCCATAAACAAATTTTGAAAATTCTAAACCAAAAACTTAGCAAACCATATTCAACTATATAGAAAACATAAAAAGAGTATGATCAAGGCGGTGTTATTCCAGAAATGTAAGACTAGGTGAACATCAGAACAACTTGTAACGCAATCCATTCCATTAATGTGAAAATCCACATGATCATCAACAAATGCAAAAAAGCATTCAATAAAATTCAGTATCTAGCCATTATTAAAGAACTATTTTCTTACGCTAATAATAAAATTTACAAAAAAACATACAGCAACATATTTAATGATGCAAAATTTAAAACATTCCTTTTAAATTCAGAAACAAGGCAAAGATATGTACAAGAAAACTTCTAGTCAATGTTGTGCTGCATTTCCTAGCCTGTACATTAAGATAATGAAAAGAAATAGAAAAGAAATAGAAGACGTTAAAATAGAAAGGAATCCAAACTTCACAGTTTATGATCATTTAAATAGAAAACACCAAAGAATTCTCAATTATTAGAATTAATTGGAGTTTAGGAAGGTTGCTGAGTAAAATGAACATGCAAGAATCAATAGTAATTCTAGATACCAGTTAGAAGATCCAATTTACAAAAACATAAAAAATAAAGTAAAAATAAATTTAACAAATAACGTCCAAGACCCGAAAATATAAAACTTTACTGAAAAATGTTAAATAAAGTTCCAAAAAACTGGAATAACATATTCAGATAGAAGGATAAATATCCTAAAGGCATCAGTTATTCCCAAATTGAACTTGAAATTTCAATTGAAACTACAATAGCAGATTCTAGAATTTCTACTAAAGAATAGCAAAGGATCACGAACAGCTAACACTTCTCTTGAGGAACAAGGAAGACAGTTGCCCTCTCAGACAAATAAAAAGGAGAATCATTAGGACAGTGAATATAGACATAGGGCGAGACAAATAGAACAATGCAACAAAGAGCCCCGTAACACACCCATACACATATGTAAATCAATATACTGACTGCAAACCATTAGGGAGAGGATGAGTTTTAGAGTAATGCTGGAACAACTGTGTATCTTAAGTAAAAACATTATACTGGATCCCTACCTCATTCACACATATTAATTTCAAGCGAAGTAAGGACCTGAAAGGCCCTAAATTTAAAATTTGTAGAGAAAAATACAGAAGAATATCATTAAGGCCTTGGCTATAAGGAAAAATTTCTTAACCAAAAAGCACTAATCATAAAAAGCAAAGACAAATCCATTTTACTACCTTAAAATTAAGAACTCCTATTAAACAAAAGATGATACAGAAAGACAAGCCAACAAGTATTTAGAATACTCCTAACAAATGAGGATTAACATCCAGAACACATAAAGAATGACTATAGGGGCAGGCCCAGTGGCGCAAGCGGTTAAGTGCACGTGCTCTGCTGTGGCGGCCTGGGGTTCACCGGTTCGGATCCCGGGCGCGCACCGACGCACCGCTTGGCAGGCCATGCTGTGGCGGCGTCCCATATAAAGTGGAGGAAGATGGGCGTGGATGTTAGCCCAGGGCCAGTCTTCTTCAGCAAAAAGAGGAGGATTGGCAGATTAGCTCAGGGCTGATCTTCCTCACCAAAAAAAAAAAAAAAAAAAAAGAATGACTATAAATCAATCAGAAAAGACAAACCAATTGAAAACAGGCAAAAGACACGAATAGGCATTTCATAGAAGAAAAAAAACGCAAAAGACTAAAGTTATGGGAGAAAAAAGTGCATCTTCACCAAAGATCAGGAGAGCACAAATGAGAACAAGAACAGGATATCATTTCACACTCACCTCTTAGCACAAATTTAAGTGAGACAATATCACCTGTTAAAGAGGACATGGATTAATGGGGACTGTGGATGGGAATGCACATTGGTACAATTACTTTGGAAAACAATTCAGCCTCACCAAATAAAGCCAAAGATGCACATAACTCTATGACCCAGCAATTTCACTCTCAGGTGTATTCGCTGAACTATTTTCTCTCTCTCCTCTTTTTTAAAAAAATGATGTGTCCTAAGTCACTAAACATAGTCCACAACCCACTACTAAGTTGTAACCCACAGCACAACCTGCAGTTTGAAAAATCACTGCTCAAGAGCTGCCCCTCTCAAACTTTTTCGTCTTGGGACTCCTTTACACATGTAAAAATTACTGAAGACCCCCAAAGAGCTTTTCCTTATGTTGGTTATATCTATTGATGTTTATCATATTAAAAACTAAAACTGAGAAAATTTATTTACTAATTTAAAAATAATAAACCCATGATGTTACCATAAATATAATTTTTGAGTGAAAAATAACTATATCATCCAAAAAAATTAGTGAAAAGAGTGGCATTCTCTTACATTTTTGCAAATCACTTTAATTCTTGGCTTTAAAAAAAGCCGCTGGATTCTTACATTTGCTTCTGCATTCACCCTATCAGACATGATGTTTTGGTTGATCCATACAAGGAAATCTGGTCTCCCACAAAGCAGATGGCTAAGGAAGGACACTGTAGACCCCCTGGGAGGGTCTCAGGGACCCCTAAGGTCTTAAGACCACTCTTTGAAAACTGCTGCTCTAGAGAAATTTTTGCACATGTGGAACATATAGGGATGATCACAACAGGATTGTTTATAATAGCTGGCACACAAACTAATGAACAAACCCTAAAAACCCCACAGGCCATCAAGACACTATACTATACAGAAATATAAAAGAGGCTCTGCCATTTACTAGTTGCATAACCTTGACTTAACCTCTCTTGCCTCACTTTGCTCATTTGAAAATGGAAATACTGATGCCAATCTCATAAGATTATTGTGAGGATTACATGAGTTAATATATGAAAAGTATTTAAAACAATGACTGCCAGACAGTACTATATAAGTGTCATATACTATTATAATCTCAAAATGTGTATGGTGGTGTGTGTATGTGTGTGAGAGAGCAAGACAGAGAAATAGGACGATGCAAAAAGGGGCATGAAGTTATTCATTTTTATTATTCTCAAAAATAAATTTTTTATATATTTAATGTTATAAAATCTATGATATATTCATAAAATATTTTTAAGAGATATATGGAGCAGGTCGGTTAAAGGGTCTGGCTAAAAAGCCAGGGAGACCAATTATGAGATTAGCTCATTAAGTCCAAAGTGACAGAAGGGTGTTGACCATGGTTACGGGGAAAATAAAAAAGGAATGACAGAAAAGACATTCTTCTCTTTCAACACTGTGCTGCCTGTACTTCTATTTAATATCATTATGCCCAATCATAGTTGTTTCCCTGCTGCTCTCCACTAGTGAAGTTGATACATAGCAATAGCACAATAAATGTTACCCACTGTTGTTACTCTTCTTGCTGCTGTTGCAGCGAAATACTGAAAAAAGCCATTTGAATGTATCACCTACTCCCATGTTGTTCACATTTGAGATTTACATGGTAGCTCTTTCCTAACAACTATGTTATTTGTGAATCTACCCGTTAAAAATCCTTGCCTGGTAAAAGCACCTTTATTTACTACAGCTAGCTCCATGCTGAATACATATTAATTGATAAAGTTCACAACCCTGAAGTCTGAATATGAATAGCCTTCTGAGTTCATGTTGTAGTTTTAAAAGGTCTTTTTGTGTTGTCTTCTTTTTGTGTTGTCTTATTTTACAATCAGCTGTTTGTTAAGCTAAAGTGCTTTTTTAATTCTGCTGGAAATGCCAGCCCTATTTCTCACAGGACAGTTAAAGCATCTAAGCGGGCTCATATCTTATACACTGATAAACAAAATTTAGTCGTTTTTACTTTGAGACATAGTGACTTCCAAATTAGACACTTTGATGTAGCAGGTCAAGTTAACTAAGAAGGTTGTTATACTTCGATTTGTAAAGGGCCCTAGATATTCTTAGTGTACCCTTGATATTTAGAATCCTTTTCAAGCTGAGTTTACCATATAAAAATATATATGCTTTCTTATTAAACACTCCATGGGATCTCTGTCCAGGCTACCTCAAAGACTAAGGGTTGACCATTAGATAGTCACTGGTAGAGTGCAGCTGAATTCAACACTCATAAGAGTATTCCTTGAGCAGTCTCCCAGTGCTACATTTTCAGAGCAGTGAAAAGCCCTCTTCTCCCAATTAAGTTTAATCACAACTCCTACGCAGATAATCTCACCCACCTACTTACTGACACTTCTTCCTAACAGTCTAACAGTGTCTCTCTTATCTTCCCTTTTACTGACCTAATTCCTGAATCAACTCCAATTGCTTCATTCATTCTTCGTCCTTATTCTTCCCAAAACTCTCTGCAAACTTGTTACCCTCATTCTGCTGAAACCCTGAAGGTTACTTCTGGCCTCATTATCACAAATCCTGACAACAGTCATCAAAAGCTGAAACTGAGAAGTGTGTCTTCCCCTAGGTGACTCTGCTGGCCCTAAACTTTTTTCCCCCGTTAGCTTCTATGACATAACTTTACCCTGATATTCTCCTGTCTTCTTCCCTCACTATCCTTTTTTCATGTTTTTACCTACGTTTACAATTCATCTAGCCCAACTCTACTTCCACACTACCTCTACTCATTCCAAATTATTTCAAGTTTCCTAAGAGCACCTATTGTCTTGTCACATGCCCCACAATGCCTGTGATGCTTTTGTCTCCTTCCTTTTTCTGTTCTTGCCACAAGCATTTACGATTCCTTCATCATCCAGGTAGCTCCATCTTCCCTTCTAGGAAACTGTCTCTAGCCTACCCAAGCACTGCTAATCACTGTCGCCCAGGTTATTCTAGTATGGTAGTATTAAAAACTGTACTGTGTAATAATCTAATTACGTGTAGTTTCTCTTCAGTGCTTTGCTCTTTCAGAGCAGGGATTCTATCCTACTCATCTCCGTAATCTTAGAGTCTACAAGTGTGCCAGGCACTCAGCATCTGCTAAATACAGAAATAATGGCTCTAACTTCAGCCTCCTCACATTTATTGCCTATCTGTTCCTAACGCCGCGGTTCCCAAAATGCTAAGCGTTCGGTACTCCAATTCGCCAATTATTAGTGACTGAACTGGCTGATGACCCTTGTGGAGGGGAAACCAGTATTTAAGATCATTTCCCCCTGTGGCCTCTCAAAAACGGCATTTACACACTGCAGTCATAGTAACAAGGTGGGAGGTGGGAAGCGCGCGCTCTGGGTAGGATAAGCACAGAACAAAGTTACTGGGAGGATAGGAGGGGGAGGAGCTGCAGGCAAAGGAATCAGCATAAGCAACGACGAGGATGCACTAGAGGCTGCGGACTCGGCCACAGCTGCCAAGTAAGCCGACTAGCGCGCCTACCTGTTCGCGGCGCGTTTCCAAGACCGGCCGTTACACCCACGTGACCAAAGGAGAAAGGTTTTCACAGGCCAGCGTGTGGGTACAGCCATCCCAGAGAGCCCTGGCAATGTTTGGCAACCTGGGCTGCCAAGCCGAAAGGTGAAGGGGGCATGGGGGACAGAGCCGGGCCAGGCCTGTTTCAGTGGAAGACAGGAGCCTCGACAGAGAAGCACTGGACGTCAGGGTAGAACGGGGCGACCTCAGCGTCGCCTGCCGTTCCCCAGGATGGGGTGAGACGCTGGCCCAAGAGCTCTCTGAAGCGGGAGGAAAAGCAAAGAGGCGCTAGGGCCGACATGGGGCTTATTCGAACGTCAACCGCTTCTTACCGAGAACTGAGAACCAGAAGTCGCAGAGACCGACGCTGCCGCCATCTTCCTGCCTGCCCAGCGGACCTCCGCAGCCCCGCAGCGGTCCGAGTTCTCGTGCTTTTCTTCAAAATTCGAGAGCCGCCCGCCAGGGGCGACCCTAAGCCGAACCCCTGATGGAAGGGGCTAGGTGGCTGGTGCCAGGTCCAGAAGCCCCAGCCACACACCCCCACAGGGACGCCCACGCTCAGAGCGCACACAGAAAGGGCGACACGTCCTAAAGGACGTCTTGAACAGCCAATCAAAAAAACGGACGTCTTCCGGGAGTAGGAGAGAACCCGCCTCTTCCCTCGGTGACGTCACAAGGTAGCGCGTAGCTGAGACTGCGGCACGGGTAACGCTGCGGAATACTAGATGGCTCAGGGGGGACTCTACAAAGGGGCGGGCCTTCTCGAGGAGGAAACATGGGTGAGGGGTTGAGTTGTCTCCGGTGGCAACTGGATCGAATGACTGACAGAGGATAAAAGCGAATGCGAATTTCAAACACTCCATCGGTTCTCTCGGACTAACGCCGGAGAGAGCGTGAGCTTGACTCGGGGACGCCTCTCCAGGTGAAGTACTTACCTTTTGACCAATAACTAATAGAATTAGGAGGGGCTTAATGATTTGGACCAATAGAAGTCAGGGGAAAAAGAGTAGAGTCAGAGAGTAAACCTTCGCGAACATTTGCCCAATTGGGTTGGGGCGCTCTCACCCAAACCTGGCACTGGCTGTTAGAAATGGCCGCGACCGGGACCTTTGGGCGGGGCGAGTTTAAAGCGGATTTCGCGCGCTGAGAGCGTCGGGCTGTTATTGGCCAGCGACTTCCTCCCTTTGTGGGAGCTCCCTGCGTAGCCGGGGTTAGGCACTGGGAGGAGCGACCGAGAGACGCAGTACTCTCCCCAGCCAATCAGGGATGGGGAAGGGGGCCGAGAAGGAAGCGGATCCGCTGCCGCGCAGCTAAACCGCAAAGAACTATCTGCTTCGTCTCCCTCCGCCGCTATCGGGGCCTAAGCAGGAGCGGCTGGGTCGGCGTCACTTGGTGGGCTGGGGCGGAAGTGGAGGCGGAGGGAGACGGCGTCGGCCGCAGGGCCCTGGGATCTCGCAGCAAGGCCCTGGTGGGCGCGAGGCAGGGGGAGGGGGAGGAGGAGGAGCCGGCGGCCCGGGCGGCGGTGGCGGCTGCGGCGCCCGAGTTCTCCGTAGGGCCCCGCCTCGGAGCGGGCGGCGGTGGAGGAGGAGACTGAGGAGCAGGATGGCGGCCTCGGCCCTGTACGCTTGCACCAAGTGTACCCAGCGCTATCCCTTCGAGGAGCTCTCCCAGGGCCAGCAGCTCTGCAAGGTCCGTGGGCGCTGGGCGGCGGGCGGGCGGGGTTTCCTCGGCCGTAGCCCGAAGGTGCTGGGTGCCCGCTGCACTGCAGCGCTGAGCCCTTCGCCGGCGCCTTAGGGATTTGGAGCCTTCGCCTTCTCACCCGGGGACCCCTTTTTCCGAGGACCTGGGCATCAGCTGCGAAAGGCCCCTGGGAGGAAGACAGAATACTGCTATCTTCCAGGCGGCCCAGGAGGGGCCCGGGCCCCAATAACGTTCAGGGGTCTCCGGGGTGGGGCTGAGTGAAGCAGCCACCTGTCTATGCTGCAGAGACCCTGGGGTGGAGATGTTTTCATCTCGTTTTTCTGCCTGGTCTGTCCTCTCCTTCCATCGGGAGGCGGGGGACGGTTTTTGCACTTTCTTGCTAGGAACCTGAAGCCGCAAAGCTGATGGCATCCTTCTTCCCTGTCCAGGAAAGCGAAGCGACTGGCTTGGGAACAGAATGCTCTATGATTTGGAGCTCCTCCCATCCCATTAAAGCCGGGATGCTGTCTGTGAGCAACGGTGCAAAATAATAAGTAGTTTCACATTTAACCAGTTCTTGAAGTCGGCCCTGACAGCTTGCTTAATTTATCTGCAGCATACCCCCCACATCTAATAAAGACAAAGACACCTATGCCTTTCCCAAGGAATTGTGCTGTAATTGGCCACTTACATAAGTCACTCAATTGTCTACATCGGGGGACAGATTTTATAGATGTTTTAGACATTTGACTGGGTTGGGTAATAATTTTCTACTAGAAAAGTGAAATTTAGGACTTTGAGATAGATACTGACTAATATATTGTTTTATTACATATTGTTTTATTACAGGAATGTCGGATTGCACATCCTATTGTAAAATGTACTTACTGCAGATCAGAATTTCAACAAGAGAGGTTTGTATACTGAACAGTTTTTGATTGTTAAGGACAAAGTATTGTCTGTAAGGAATACTTGGGGGTTGTAATCCCATGTTTGTATTCAAGTTTTTTTAAAAAAATGGTTTAGTTTTTTAAATTTTAAGTTGTAAACCTTTTATGCATGATGAGAGAGAGAATGTTGACAAAAATTTAATGGTTATTTTACAGCTAGACTTCAGTTTACACATGAGGAGATAAAGAATAAATTATCGCCTGAGAAATGTACAGCCTTGCTAACAAAAAAATGCAAATATAGATAGTTACTATTGAGCTCTAAAAAAATGGCAGAACATTAGTGCTGGCTTGGGCATGAAAAGAGGTCTTGAGTGTTACCAACTACCTTCCCCGGGTGAAATCTAGTAACTTGTTACCAGTGGAAGAACAGCACATACTTTTTTTTTTTTTTTTTTTTGTGAGGATGATCGGCCCTGAGCTAACATCTGCCAATTCTCCTCTTTTTCCTGAGGAAGACTGGCCCTGGGCTAACATCCATGCCCATCTTCCTCTACTTTATATGGGACGCCGCCACAGCATGGCTTGACAAGCAGTGCGTCAGTGCGCGACCGGGATCCGAACCGGCGAACCCCGGGCCGCCACAGCAGAGTGTGCGCACTTAACCGCTTGCGCCACCAGGCCGGCCCCAGCAAATACCTTTTAACAGGGTGATTCTTAGAGAATCACAGCACATACAAGAGAGTAGCCTAAGACAAGAACAAATGATTTCTTCATGAGTAGGTGTGGACATCATATAGTGGAGAAGGCCCAGTGGAAGGTAAGGTAGGCACTGGTATGTAATGCTATACCTAAATAGTGGCAAGTGTGAAGATTTTGAAACTAGATAGGAAACATTAGGAGTTTTTGTTTAACAAAAAGTAAAAAATAAAAATATGTAAAAACATTTATGTTAAGCTGTTGGAAGAAAAGTAAATTTGGATAATATACAACCCTAAAAGATACTTATGTTTGTATTTTCTAAAAAATCCTTGGTCTATATTAGAGTAAGTTTTAAGTACTGCTAAAGCAAATTGTTCTCTTTCACTGTTTGCTTTAGTTCAACATTGTGCTAGGTACTCAGAAAGCTACATAAATTTGATCATCTATATACAATTTCCTTTTCAGCAAAACTAATACAATTTGTAAGAAGTGTGCTCAAAATGTGAAGCAATTTGGCACGGTAAGTATGTCTTACATTTTCATTTCATTTTATTGTTACTGGTCAATTAATCTTTTTCACAATGATGGACCTTTTAAAAAATATGTATTGCTATGTTCTGAAATATTTCAACATACCAGAATATTTCAGGGAAGAAATTATTGGTATATTATAGTCATGATTAGTCAAAGTGCTGGCCTTAAGGCTCTATAAAATCCTGAATTGTCATTTGAACATCAAAGAAAATTAAGGTATGTTTGTTATAGTTTATGTTGAGTGTGCTTGTGCCAATATTTTTAAGTTGAAAACTCACCTATAGTATGTATTTCTTGAATCATCTGTACCTGTATATGATGATAAGTTGCTAAATGTTTTTTGAATAAATGATATAGTAATTAAGCTAACCAGAATATTAAATTAGTAAAACTTTATTCCTCCATATACTGGATACATGAAACTTTTCTATAAGCGCATACATTTATTTTCATTCTTTGAGACCTTTTTCACGTGTAGCTTTTGTATTGTATAACATGATATGCAAATCGTAAATAATGTTTCTCATGATCATTTAACTATTCAATAGAATAACAAAAGTTTCATAGCTCTAGAAATAAATGTTAGTAAATGAATAGAAATATGATAAATGTCATTGAATGCGACAAGGCAGCATACTTGACAGAAAAATTTTTTGCCTGTTTCCTTAATCCAGAAATATATTTGTACACTGGGTATATTTTATGCAGCAAATGTTTAATTTTTTTAAATGTCTCAATTAAAGGAAATGTTTATCTGTTTTTCAGCCTAAGCCTTGTCAATACTGTAACATAATTGCAGCATTTATTGGTACAAAGTGTCAGCGTTGCACAAATTCAGAAAAAAAATATGGACCACCTCAGACGTGTGAGCAGTGCAAACAACAATGTGCTTTTGATCGGAAGGAGGAAGGAAGAAGAAAGGTATATTACTTACGTTATGACATCTGGAAATTAAATAAAACACCAACCAAGTTGGAAGTTATTATAATTAATACACTCTTGAGACTTGATGTATTCTTTGGGTCCCTGAAAGCAGGTAGTTAGATGAAAGTGCAGGAATAGTGTCATATGTAGATTCATGTTGATCAATTGAGATTACTACAAAAAATATTCTGTGATGGCTACTTAGTACTATTTGGGTATCCAACATTTGGTTCAGGATGATTAGTAACTGCTTTTAAATCCATTCAGCTACTTACCCTTTTGCTGGTTGCTTCAAGTTGCTGGTGTGAAAAAATACTTGATGGCACATTAGCACAAATAATTCAAAGTTACTCTTAGGCTTTTTGATTTGGGGCTCATATTTAAATGATTGTTTGTTTTTCTCTACCTACAGTGACTTAAAAAGTATATGTATGCATATGGCATTCTTCTGATTAGCATTCATACAGGCCTTCTGTTGTCTATCAGTTTCAGTTGATTTGGAGGGTGACTGTCTCTTTGAGGGGTTCCCCCAGGTCTCCCCAAAGCAATATATGTACCTTAGTTGTAAGACATGTCCCTCTAGCACTTCTTGTGTGAACAAATAGAAACTTAATTTTATTTTTATAGATTTAGTCTTAATAATTTTGGAGGCAAGTCTCTTTGCCTCTCCCTTGACACACGTGCAATTGATTCTCCTTATTCATGGTAGTTATGTTGCTGTAAACATGAATTAGCGAATACCAAACTATTGCTCCTACGGGTAATACAGGGTTAGGTTCCTGCTTCTGGTCACAACGTCGTGATCAGTTGATCAATACATAGTCTCGTTTTGTGTATGTTTCTGTTTAAAAACACCTTTTTTTGTATTGTTGATTGATTAGAATGAACTCATGGGAAACAGCACTATAACTATGCCTGACCAAAGCTTACCTGACACACATGTTTTTTACATAAGGTACATCACAGCCTTTTTGCACTTAGGAACACCATACATCACTTTAGCACTATACTTGGGCACCATTTTAAACAGTGAAATCACCAATAAACACAAAATGCAAAACGATGGCACTCAATAGACCGTGAAAAGGACACATGTTTACAGTGTAAGAGCTGACAGAAGAAAGCAACAGAGCATCACCTTGTTCCACCTTAGCTGGGAACATTTGCTGTCTGTCTATACA